TTCCTCCTCCATCACCCACACCCGTCCACCATAGCCAACCACCACCCTCACCCGCGCCCGTCCACCCGAAAGTCCTAGGGGGTCGCAAGGGGAAATGCACGGGACCTCGGATAGGATCGGTTAGGATAAGTCAATAAGCAAGGTCAATTAGAATGAGAAGCTTTTTGTCTCTCTCTCTCTCTCTCTCTCTCTCTCTCTCTCTCTCTCTCTCTCTCTCTCTCTCTCTCTCTCTCTCTCTCTCTCTCTCTCTCTCTCNTCTCTCTCTCTCTCTCTCTCTCTCTCTCTCTCTCTCTCTCTCTCTCTCTCTCTCTCTCTCTCTCTCTCTCTCTCTCTCTCTCTCTTCCCCTCTCCCTCTCCCTCCGTCTTCCTCCATTCCTTCAACGCTCTTTAACCCTTAACCCTTCCGTCACCCCTTCCCCTCCATGGCATGTGACTGACCTCTACCCTCACCTGTTACATTGTTAGGGAACGAACGGAAAGGGACTTGGTCCTCACTTGGTGGAAAGCGAGGGCAAGGGAAGGGCTGTCGGTCCCTTGTGCCACCAAGAAACGAAGGATACGAGACTATTGAGAACATTTGTGAAAGCGAAGAGGAGTGCTGTTTTTTGACGAGGTCAGTTTGAGTCAACCATCCTCCCGGACTGCATGACTAAGGGACTGCATGGCTTGCTGGTGGGAAAGGCAAGGGAACTTATAAGGGGAATTTGGAAAGTAAAAGGGGCTTAGGATTGCGGGAAGGGCGATGTGTTGACCCCAGTGGGGATTGTACTTGGTCATTTGTTTGTGTGGTCTTGCGCAGGTGAGTAGTCAGGGATGATTTGGACGGGACTGGATCCACTGTTGAGGAGTAGGGTGGGAGAATTGGCTAAGGGAAGGACTTGGGCCTCGCATAAGCTGTGGATGCGGGACGGGTTGTATGGTCGGATGGTCGGATGGTCGGATGCTTGGATGAATGATAGATGCCTGGATGTGGTTGCGTGATGGTTGAATGCAATGACTCTCTCATGAATGCAATGCAAGCYTGGAAGGACTARGGGCTGCCTGGGATAGGTGGATRTGATGCTAGTGGCTYCCGCAAAAAAAATATAGCGGCTAGGRGTCCGGGCGACGCCGCCTCAAGGATGYTGYMGGGGCTGTCCTGAGCCACTAGACTTAGTGAAAAGGTGTGTGGCCCAATGGATGACGCTTGGCCTGCGCACGGTAAGAAGACAAACTCTCAAGGAACTCCCTGGACTGTCTGAGTATTGGAAAGAGCGATTGCCTGGTCAGACTTAAATGAATCAAGAAAATGCCACGAGTGCCAAAGAGCTACCATCTTGACGCGAGAGTGGAGCTACATCCCCCAATATAAAGCCCTCTCGCAGAATAGCCCACCCCCGTCCATCTCGAAGCACTAGGTGGGGGTGCCCCTGGGACGAACGACCCGCGCCCTGAGCGTGAGCGTGGGCAGGTCGAGCCAAATGGGACCCGCAGTGGGGTCGACCGAGGCTCGAAAGTCCTTCAGGGTACGGCCCCTACAAAAATGGTGGAGGTGCCGGGTAATGGGTTAAACTGACCCATACGGTCTCGAGGGGGCGCCGGACGCATGACCGAGAACACAAACATAAAGATGAGGAATATGGACTTGTGTATGCTCTATCCCTTGAGAGAATTAGATTTGAGGGTGGCTGGGCGCATGGCAAGGCCAGGCCTGGGGGAAGAACATGCATGTTTGCACTTTTACTCAACCATCTCCTTTGGAGATGACTCTAGTCCTCCTTCCCTTGGACTGATGTTCGTCAGGCCAGGGAAGCCTTGGGCAAGCCGCGGGTCGACCCTTCCTCTTCGTGCGAAAGAAGGGCTCCGATTACCTGGCAGGCGGTTGGGATGCCGGGCTAGTCCGGATTCCAATGAAAATCTCGCAGCGGAGCGATCCGACCGACCTGGGTGCCTTCTCTCCTCTTCAGAGCCCAGCGGGCTCCGTGCACCACACTTAAATGCTTGAAGGAACCTCATATGAACACAAACGGTAATCGAGAAGGAACAATCCTTCCCTATGAACGGACACACAAGCGAAGATAAGGGAATGAAAGGAGTTGCTAGACTCCAAGAAAACTAGCTCACCTTTGAAGATGCTCACAAAAAGGAACCAGGCACTATGTATGGAATTTAGGGGTGAGTGGCACACACTGTCCTGAGAGAAAATTGGTAAGCGGTGGGTAGGAAGCGCTGGGTGCACCAAGGGAAAGGCACTTGTTCTATGTGTGTCCCACTTGGGACTTGTGATTGCATGACTGGGATTTCGAGCGTCCTGCCATCTGGAAGGAAAGGAGGGGTCTGTACCGGCCACTGCTGGTTGCCAAAAATCGTTCTCTTTGCACGCTGCCGTTTGTTCGTATGTGGGGGTCAGGCCACCGAACTGTTTAACGGGAGTTTGTCACGTCGAGTGCTTATTAGCATTCTCGTCCGCGCGGTGACGGACTTCGGATCGATTGATCTGCCGGGCGGGGTGTGAAACGTTCCTCAGGCGGGGCCTAGCCTGTGGACTGGTGGAGGGAGCACCACTGCATGGGGGCAAAGACGGAGCCTGGGAGGTGATCAGTAGCTTCTCGTAGCCGGGTCTGGGGAGGCTGTTTCTTATCGGACCAATGGAAGTGAATGCCTGGACGGCTGGCTCCAATGGCCTACCGAGATGTGCGGGGTGATTCCCGAGATTAACGGTGGGCACACGAGCGGCAAGTCGGGATGGGGTATTCTGGGTAAGGAGGAAAGGGCGAATGCCTTGCCGAGACCTGGGTACCGCGCTCGCGACGGTTGAGCTGTGCTTGAGGTATGGGATAAAACCCTGCCGACAGTAACAGTGGAGAGACCATTTCCGGGGAAAAGGTCGGTGAGGAGATGACCGACCTGTGTGCGACGTTTGCCTGAGTTTTGCTTTTTGTGCCACCCTCTGTAAAGTTGCCTGATGAATGTTGGAGGGGGACCAAGCTTCTAAGTCTATTCTCACCCCCAAGTCTAAGTCCGCACGAGCGAGAGAACATGAGGAAGAGGTTGGACAGGAGTCGGAAGGAAATGAAGCCAAGAAAAAGGAATGTCGGCTGAGGATGGTTGATTGAAGGTATGGCTGGGCAGCGATCTCTGGGGAAACGGGTAGGAAATGCTAGGAAGACCCGGGTGAGGGGTCTGAAAATCATTCTCATCTAGGAGGAAGGCAATTTGACCACGAGGGGCCGTGTGGTGCTCTTATGTGGAAATAGGATAGGTGTCGGAAAAACAAGATGGCGCGATGGTTGTCACCCCTTGTTTACTATAGCAGTCCGGAAATGCCCATAAACGTAAGGGAAGGGGTATCTGTTGTTCTCCCGGAAGAAGGAACGTGGACGGACCTAGAGCCACCCTATGAAACCGTGATGCTGGACGAGAAGGACGCGTTCCTCTGGATAGAGACGATCTGGACCAAGGTTAGCCTGACGAGGCTCTCACCAAGTCTGATGGACTTAGAGTTCCGGGGAACAGTGGAGGCTCGAGGATGGGTCTACGTATCTCACGAAATGGAAAATGCAATGGTAGTGGGACTAGTATTGGGCACGACACCAGATCAGTTGTTTAAGCAAGTGGAACGGGAGGTGATATGGGCGGCGTGTCAGCGGGCGGAAATGGAAATGGAAAAGATGGAAGTGTAAGTGGAACTCGGGGACAGGAAGAATATGAGGCGCCCTCTTAGGATGATGAGATGTGTGCTACCCCCGTTTCTGGTGGATGCAGTCTTTGGGACCAGGGATAGACTGGAACGGATATGCCGATCGATGACGTACCTGAGGCTGTACCGATGTGCTAGACAGGACTTCTTTAGACTGTCGGTGGAAGCGGGGCCGTTTGAGGGAAACTGGGTGGAAGAGTTAGCTGAGGTATTAAAACTCCTCAGCGTGGACGAAATCTTTGTTCCCAGTCCGGTGCATTGGCGGATAGTTTACCGAAACGTGGCTGCAGGGGAAACCTTCTTGGAAAGGGTGAAAGAGTTGTTCTTGGACGAGGAGGAGGGTTTCAGTGATGAGGAGGACGGGGACGAGGTAGAGGACTGGGACTTTTGAAAGGGATGGAGGAACTTATCTGGAAAACGCGTTGTCGACTATGTGCAGGTAGGAAGCGATGGCCCGGGAACTCAAGCTATGGGACTGCACGTGGGAACCTAAACGAATCGGGAGGGGAGTAGAGATGTCTCTACCACCAAGTAATGAGTGGAAGGGGAGTACATGTGACTCGCGGGGGTATGAAATCGTGTCGGAACTGTCATACCTATGGATAGAACGTGTTTGGAACCCGTTGAGGGAGGAGGAAGGATGGGAGGAAATTGCGGAAGGTAGGGTGGAATCGGTTGGAATGATCGTTCTCTCCGAACAAGGTTGGCACCTGTTCTGCACGACGCTCGCAGCAGGACAGGACCCGATGTGGCTCCTAGGGGACGCCGAGGCAAGGGCTCGGCAGGCGGGGGAAAAGTTTGCCAACAAGGGTTGGGATACGGTCAGCAACAGAGTCGTAATGGGAGGATGGAAGGAGGTCAAACCGCCTGGCGCCCGAACCAAGACCTGGGTGCCGGAGTTTGTGGCGGATTGGTTTGGGGGTCTTGATCACGTAACAGAGGTAGCCGACACGATGGAACGGATACATGTGGACTGCGCATGGTTGGCGGAGGAATTCTATAGAACGTCCCTGAAATTCGGACCCTTCCATGGCGACAGAGCCCGGGTGGTTCTTATCATTTTGGACATCGAAAGGAATGACCGGCAGGAAGTGGCCCCGGAAACTAGGGAGGCCATAATCCGCCGCGAGGTAGCAGAAACACCTTGTTATGTGGATGATGTGTTTAATCTGTTCGAAGTATTGTGGTTCGACTGGGGTGGGAAAGCCGAAGGGCCGGGCAAATATGGGAAAAATTGCTAAGACAAGGGACTGGGATGTCTGGTCATTGTAGGGATTCGTTGCGGGTCGTGAGCTAGGAGATCAAGGACGAGTGCGCGATGGCGCGAAGAAGGACGTTTCTTGAGGAACGCCCCCTGGGCATTGAACCGCCTAGGGAAGTACCGGGTGGGATAGAGGTTAGTTTGTCGGCGGCAAGTGAAGGCTGGCACCAGGTGGCAGATTAGGTCGGGGTCAAGCTTGCGGAAAACGCGGTTTACTTGGTGACGAAAGTTGAGTGGCGTCCGGATGAGAATGGGGAATGGAACCCGGACCCGAGGGGGCATGTGCATGCGGAAGGATGGTTGTATGTGCCGGAAGATGGAGGGAGGGAGTTCGGAATCCGGCTGGCATAAGGGAGAGAACTGTTGAGCATGTTTGAAGGGGCATGGCAGTCAGTATGGCAAGCGGGATTTGAGTTCGCGGATCCGGGATTTGACGATGTAAGAGCGGATCTTAGGGTAACCATGGTCGGGAATTTCGAGTTGCCCAGCGAAAACGTAAGGATGAGGCTGCCGCCTTTCTTGCAGGAAAAGATGGGCGGTCTGGAACTTGTCAGGCAGGCGGTAGCCGACCTCGCAAATTTGACATACGAGGATGCGATGGTACATCGGGAGTACTACCGGGCCTTCTTAGAAATGGGGCCGTTTAGCGGTGAACAAAAGTATGAAGTATTGCGTATCCTGCGCGCGGTGTTTGGCACTAGACCAAGGGCCCCGGTCGTGGGTAGTGAAGTCCTGTGGGGTGTCATCCGGCGGGAAATAAGTCTAGGGATGGTGTACGTAGATGATATGTACCGGTTGTATGAGCCAATGGAAGTAAGGACAGGTCGATAATAGGATCGAAGAAAGGGAAAGGAATAGAAGGAGAGAAGAAGCCCCAGGCTAGGGATCGGGGAGTTGTTCGAGCAGAAAACTGAAGACCAAATGGAATAAGTAAACCCGCGTGCTGTTTAAAACTGTGCAAGGGACTTTTCAGTCGGAAATGGCGATGAGACGCGCCCGTATGCCGCGACGACCTATGCACCCGCGGCCACCCACGGAAAACGGAGGTGGATGGGAGGTGTCGCTCCCAGCAGGCTACATGATTAGGACTGGATACCGAATGGAGAGTCGTGACCCTGGGAAGAGGTCAGGCGTTCATGATGGTGGAATGTTTGTGGGACGGTATGAGGATTAACAGGGGACCGAGGGACGATCTGTACACCGACCTTAGGGTGACGGGAACCGTATACCTGCCAGAGCTCGAGTGACACATGTTGGGGACGGAGTTGGCACTAGGGTATGGGTTGTTGCCAATCTTCCAGAGGGCTACCAGGGTACTAAATCGGGTAGGCCAGGAAGTGCGAGGGAGAAGAAACGTGGGATTAAGAACTCGAGTGGAGGTCGGAGGGTGGCGAGAGTTTAAGGCCCCAATGACCAGGTTGAGGTGTCGAGTACCTCGTTTTATGGTGGACTTGGTATTCGGTAGCCTCAAGAGAGCTAGGGACCTGGTGGACTCGACCTTGGTCTGGATCCACCTCTTCCGGCCACAAACAACGCGCATGTTCTACGATGTGTCGGTCAGACATGGGCCGTTCTGGGGGAATCAGGCCTGAGAACTACTCGAATTACTCGAGATCTTGATATTCGGATTGCCCCACCTGTCGTTTGAAGAATATGAGCCAATAATTATCAGGGAAATAGAGATGGGAGAAAACTACCTTGCTGGGCTGGCTGACCTGTTCGAGGAACCGGATGAGCAGGATAGGCCTGAGGGACCAGCGTGAGAAAACGCACCACGAAGAGGTAGGGAAAATAAAGGATGGGTACTAAGATAAGTAGGCAACCGTCACCAAAAGAGGGGCAGTGGTTGGAGTTCCGACCGACCCAATGATGTGGCAGGGAGGAACTAGGAAGACCACCCGCTCCAAAAATTCTGGGGCACCTGGATGCCGATAAGCCGAAAGGGCCATTCCCGATAGAAAAGCCACTAAGCTCAGGCACCGCCCTAAGAATCAAAGCGCGGCTGTAATGAAATTCCGAGCGGCGGCGGCAAGATCTCTGGTAGAAGAAAACCTGAAGGACGCCCCGGAGAGAAAAGTCAGAAGAGTCGTACCGACTAACGTAAGACGCAGAAAAAGCATGGGAATAAGCGGGTTTTAGGGCCGGGGCTAGGGCAGTTATGAACAACCGACCATTTTTCGCAAAAAAAATTTTTATGTGCAGGCTAGGTAAAGGAATAAGCGATGGAGGAAGAAATCGAGGATCAGCAGGGCAAAGGGAGTCAGGGTACGAAAGGGGATGGGGAACGAAACGAGGGATCAGCGAGGGACCGAGAGTCAGCCAAACCGGAGGGAACCCGAGAAGACGGGAAGGATTTCTCAACAGGAGAAAGCTCGGGGAAAGCTGGGGGTAGAAAAAGGGGATCTCAGGAAAATAGGGAAGAGGGAAACGAGATGAGAGCGAGCCCTCAGAGCTCAGCGGGAGTCACCCCCAAAAAGACGAAGGTCTTGGACACCCGCCGTAAGCTGGCAGAAATAGAAAAGCGTACTGTAGAATTTAAAGCAAGACTTATTGAGCAGATGATGGCTGGAGACGAGGAGGATCTCCAGGGCTTGGGATCAGGGGAAGGACGCAGGGCCAGTCAGGACGAGGTCAGGTATGAAGGGAAGGATAACAATCATAGGGAAACGCCTAGTAAGAAGGGGAAGGACAAGGATGACCCCCCGGCGAAAGGAGCAGAAAACGCTATGACCCCACCCGCCATCGACAGCGGCACTAGCAGACTACCCGCCACGCCGAAAGTAACAGGGACGTGTGACGGACTCTGGAGCCTTAGGGAAAGAGTGCTAGGATGGTTTGACCCAGAAGGAACGCCGAAAACCAGGGAGAAGTAGAGGGAAAGTAAGGAAGGGGAAGGGACCAGTGTAGTCGAAGAAGCAGGTGCCTCCGAAGATGGCCTCAAGAAGGTAGTCGCCACCCTCACCAAGACACTAAACAAGAACCAGGGGTATCTCGCAGATGCAAAGAAGAAACTCACGTTCGATGGGGCCAACATTACGGAGTTTCTAATAGATTATGAGAACCTAGCAGCCTTACTGAAGTGGACGGAAGAGGAAAAAATGGAGCACCTAGGGCAGCACGTGTCGCTAAGCTTGGGAAGGGACATTATAGCCATCGTCGCCTCCAATGGATCCTGGAAAGAGACCAGGAATGAGATGATGAGGAAATACCTGAAGGCAGAGAAAATGGCAACAGAGGCCGAACTAGCCGCAGTCCAGAGGAAAAACTATGCGACTTACAACGATTTCCTGAGGGCATTCACGTTAGTGGCTCTGCGAATTCCCGGGGTAACGGACCGCATAATGAGTAAATACTTCCTCAGGCAGTTCTCCGAGTTTGATAAAGATAAGATTTTGTCAGCATACCAGCAGACCAGTAAGTTCGAGTACACGAGAGATGTGGACTTCAGCACCGTAACAGACCTCGCGGAAAAGACAGTGGTCACCGAGACACTAGCCCTGCTCAAGGAAGGAGAAGTTATAGATCTGATTGGGAAGACGGGGGATAAGGTCAAGAAAGGGATAGAAAGCTTGCACGAGCGAGTGCATGGGGTTGACAGCAAGATGGAAAGAATGGAAAATGCACTGTTAGTAATGCAGGCGCAAGTGTCCAGACCCGCCCTCCCGCCCCAAAAGGCCGTGGTTCCGGCAGCCGTAGCAAACCGGGGATTTGGCAGAAGGGACCCGACCAACGAACAATGCAAGTATTGCATCATGATCGGGAATTTCGTACGGGCCTGCCCGAGACTCAATCACGATATTGAGCGGCAGAGGTGCAGTAGGTCCCTCAAAGGCGAGATCCTCGGACCCCGAGGGGAGCGTGTCAATTGGAACTCGCCAGGAGGGATGCGGCGAGTCGTCATTCTCATGAACAACCTAGAAATAGCTGCCGTAGAAGCAGAACCGATAGCCGAGATTGCCTGGAACCAGCCAAGGGGACGGGGGCCACAGGCCAATTTTATCCTAGAAGGCAATAGCCAGGACAGGGTAAACATCACCACTCGCCGGGCCGACGCAGAAAAGAAGCTTGTTCAAGATACAGTAATGGAAGAAATCGCAGGGACTAGCACGGGCCAGCAAGAGACCGAAGCCGGGGATCAAGAGAAGGTCTATGGGAAGCCGAGAGAGGAGGAGCCAGTAGACAAGGATACGGTGGCAAAAAGAAGTTCAGGTATCAAATTCCGATCCTAACTTCGCCAGAAATCGACGGCACCTTGAGTAAGCTACTGGGTACCATGGTATCCGTGTCCTTTCAGACTATGCTGCAAGCCAGCCCGAGGTTGCTTAAAGGACTTAGGCAGTTGCTAACGCGTAAGCGCGTAGAGGTAGAGAGGCCCCGGAACTGCAAGAGCAGGACATGGAAGAGGCCGAGGCGCCGCAAGGAGTCTCCAACCTCCAAAGCATCCCAGGGGGCCTGGAAGATTTGGAAAAAGCCTTTGCTGATATTCGTCTGAACCTGCCGGACCGAGAAGGTGGTGAAGTCATGAGAGCACCGCCTGGCACTAAACTCAGCTTTCACGCACTGCCCGTAGGAAAGCTTAAATCCAGATCGGAACTCACCATACCGATGCATTAGTGGATGGCGGCGCGAAAATTACCCTCATACGACGGGATTTCGCAACAATCACCGGGCGCACAATAAACAAGGAAGTAGCAGGAAGTATCAGGGGAGCCGGTTGCGAAATCCCCTTCACTGGGTATGTCACCAAATGCGCGGTCAGGGCGAGAGTCCGGGAGTCCATCTGGTCTTTCCAACGAATGACCGTCATGGAAGAAATGGACCATGACATAATCCTTTGGAGACCATGGTGCGCCAATGTAGAAATGATTGGCATGCACCTGCACGACGGCACGTACATGGTAGACATAGAGGATCCGGTGACTGGTTGGGGGGAACTCCTCCGACTCCTCGGAACTGGAGGGGACCCTCCAAAGGGCAAATTGGCAACTTGGTCGCCAACATTCGAAGAAAGTGCACGGAAGGGGGCATTCGCAGGAATGGAAGGTATGAGGGAAAGGGTATAAATTATGATTGAGGAGGCTTTTAGTAAAAAGGAATGAATCAAGATGGGCTTGCCTGTAAAGAAGAGGAGGCCAGAGGACGAGCCCCTGGAAGTAATGTTGGCAAAAAAAGAGTCGGAAGTCGAACTTGGGGCCAGCCTGCCCAAACCAAAGGAACGAAACGTCGGAGGTAGTGCTTGAAATCCCAAACTTATTACAACTCGTTAAGGCCATCAGGTACCACAAAGTGGGCGTGGACCTCGCAGCGCTTGCTAGATTTGAGGATGGGGTTCGAAAGGGCTACTGTCTGAATGGGAAGCTAGTTAGCATCCAGCCCCTCGTCTTGGAGGTAGCAAGGCCAATCCCGACCGTTCATTTTTTAGGAGAACGATCCCCGAAGGTAGTGTGCGAAAGTATAAACCCATAGGCAAGAAGGCCAAGCCGGTCTCGATCCTGGTAGAAACATCAAAGGAAGAGGCCATGGAAAAAAAGGAAGAAATCTTGCGGGTAATAAGGGAGAGGCAAGCAACGGAAGGGCATCACATACCAGATGAGGTAGCAGATACCATGAAAATAGGAGTGGAAGGGTTTCTAACAGCGGAAGAAACTCAATTGATAAGAAAAGCATGTCAGGAGTTTCATGTAGCTTTCGCCTTCAACGATCATCAGAAAGGATGATTGGACGCAAAGCTAGTTCCACCTGTCAGGATCCACACCGTACCGCACGAGTGTTGGAATGATAAAGGGGCCGCCTATGAGTTTGGGATAGCAGCGGAGGTCACCGACCTGCTTAGAGCCAAAATAGATTCTTTCGTGGCCGAACCCACCGCATCCCCCTATGCGAACAAGTGGTTCGTGTTCATGAAGCCCAATAAGATACTCAGGTGGATCTAGGACCTGCAGAAGCCCAATGCGGTAACAATTAGGGACGCAGACTCGCTTCCACAAGCCGACTTATTGGCAGAATCTCATGAAGGGCGGAGCATTTACTCCCTGGTAGACTTGTACTCAGGATATGATCAGTTGTCGCTCGACGCGAGGAATAGACCGTATACCGCAATGCACACCTCGGTAGGACAGCTGCAGATGCAAGTGACCCCTATGGGCTTCACAAATGCGGTAGCAGAAGCTCAGAGGAGGATGCTCGCCGTCGCAGGGGATATGTTTCCGGAAAAGTGTGAACCTTACATAGATGATAATCCCATGAAAGGCGCAAGATACAAGGATGAGACGGAAGTACAACCGGGAGTGCGGAAGTTTGTCTGGGACCACTTGTAGGATATTAAGGATTTACTTCAGCGATTCCTAGTCTTCAACATTACCGCAAGCGGACCCAAGAGCATCCTGGCCGTCCCGGAAGTCACCATACTGGGATTCCGCTATGGAGCCTATGGGAGGAGACCCGACCCAGCAAAAACTGATAAGATCTCTCAGTGGCCGACACCCCTGCGTACCACGACGGAAGTACGAGCCTTCCTAGGGGTGGTTGGATTCTGGAGGATCTTCATCAAAGGTTTCGCGAAGATAGCAGAACCCATCCGCGCGATGATCAGGGAAGGTGGCACTATGGATTGGATCGAGGATAGGGAAGAGGCAGCCCAGACCCTGAAAGACATCCTGTCATCCGATCAGGTCACGTTAGCAGCACCCTGCTTCAACGACGAGGTAGGACGACCCTTCACTTTAGAAACAGATGGGGGACCATTGGCAGTGGGAGGAGTATTGATACAGAGAAGCGAGGAGGGTAAAGAAAGACCAATCAGATTTGAAAGCAGGACCCTGAATTCGGCAGAACGACGGTATTCGCAGTTCAAGAAGGAGGTCTTAGCAATCCTGCATTGTCTTAAGACCTTCCAGGCATACCTGTTCGGAAGGCGATTTATCATAAGGATCGATCCCACCAACGTTGTCGGAGCCCTAAAGAACTACAAGCCTATAGACCCGACCGTTGGCAGATGGATAGGCTTCATATGGTAATTTGACTATAAGGTCGAACGAATTGCAAGGCTTCGAAATAGGGCAGATGGGCTGAGCAGGGTTTGTATCACGCCAGAAGGAGTAGAGAACGCAGAACCAATTGACGCCTTCTTGGAGTACGAAGGAAAGACCCTTGTCGTGGATAATGAGATGGCAGATCCGGCAATTACAACAGGACAGTTGCTGATTCAGACCTTAGAAAATGGCGCACCTGCAGTAGTTGCAGAACTCGGGGAAGGACCAGTCACCACGGTCAGGCGTAAAGAGGAAAAAGACTCGTGGGGAGCAGAAGTAGGGGCCAGAGAGGAATTTATGACAATGGCCGTGGAAGGGGGACGGGACGCCGTAATGACGTTGGCCGAAACCTGGGCGCAGAAGGAGTGTTAGTACCTAGTCAACCTCACTCGGGAGGAGCAGGGTGCGGATCAGAACGAACATGAATTCTTCCTCATACAAATGTATGAGGGCGTCTTCAAAGAAATCGGTCTACTGCTTGTAGGGAACAAACAACCCACGGAAGTCAGTCCCAAGGCAAGGGAGGAAGTAGAAAAGTATGTCCTAAGAAATGACCACATGTTCAAGAAAGAGGAAGGGATGATGCCTAGATGTGTCGTTTGTGGGAGGTCTAGGCAGCTGGACGTAATTCAGGCAATGCATGATGGGCTAGCTGGGGGCCACCGGTCGTTAAAAGGGACATCTGCAAAGATTGTGGCCCTGTATTTCTGGCCAGGAATGGCAGGCATGGTCGCAACATACTGTCAGACGTGCCTGATATGTCAAGAGAGGAGCGCCATACGAGTTTACGAGCCCCTTAGACCCACCCGGGTACTGGGACCCGGATACCTTGTTCACCTCGACCTTGCCGTTATGCCCGTATCAACGGATGGGTTTAGATACATCTTGGATGCAAGGGATAATCTCAGTGGCTATGTAGAAGCCGTAGCCCTCAAGAAGAAGACGGGGAAAGCAGTGGCCGATTGGGTGGAAGATTTCTACCTAAGGCACCCCTTCGTGCGCAGGTTTATAGTAGACAATGAGACAAAATTCGTTAACCAGGAGGTGTTGAGCAGGCTTAAGACACTATGTGTGCCGATCAAGATCACCGAGCCCTACCATCCTGAGGCAAATGCGTCGGTAGAAAGGGGTCACCGGACTTTGAAGAACACAATCGCAAAGCAGGCAACAGATAATCTGGGAAGTTGGTCACGGTTTCTCAAGCAGGCAATCTTCGCCGAAAACATGACTCCAAAAAGAACAATGGGATGTATTCCAGCAGAACTCTGGTATGGAAGGGAGATCGATTTTCCGATAGAAGTTTTGGTCCCTACTTGGAACAGGCTAGACGACGACCCACACTTGACCACGGAAGAGTTAATCGCCACACGTTGCCAACAGGTCGCCAGGAATGAGGAGGCATTGGAGGAAATAGTTAACCGTGTCAGGGATAGTCGAATGAGGGATAAAGCAAGATGGGACCAGGTCAAAAACATTCGGAAGGAGCCACTCCAGGTGGGGGAAAAGGTGTTAGTTAGGAACTCGGCGCTTGAAAGCACATGATCCGGGCAGCTGGGAAAAAGATTTAAAGGGCCTTACAGGATTGCTAAGCGAGTGGGACTGAACACATTCGAACTTGAGGATCTTGATGGTACTAGTATAAGAGGGGCATTTCCGGGACAAAGACTGGTCAGATTTTTTAGCAGGGATCCGGTGGAACAGTGGCTACAAGAGGCCTAGGACAGGGAAACTGAGAATTGACAGCCTGAAAGCCGGGCAGTTGGCTATAAGTTCTGGACCGCCTCCCTGTGGAAGTGATCATGACCACAGGGATTGTTCGTGTTGTGTGTCTTGACGTTTGTGGAACGTGGGGAGACTGCCTGGGCTGACTGTGACTGGGCTTGGGAGCACGGGACAATGTATTATAGTTTTTGTGGGGTAACGTTGGGGACTGTCTACACGAGGTATTTATGTGCTGGGACAATGTACCATAGTTCTTGTGGGGGGGAGGCTGTGGATTGCCTACATGGGGCATCTATGTGTTGGGACAATGTGTCGAGGGTTCTAAGGGATAATGGGACTACCAACTATATGAGGGGGGGAACCAAGAGTTTTAGGGAAGCCTCCAAAAGCTGCAAATGAGAATGGGAGGGCATATGTGTGTATGAGGGGTTGCGGTGACTGTTATGCATGAACAGGACCAGGCAAGGAGGGAACCGTAAACAGCCAAAAATGGAATTCGGAAATGAAAATGATAGCAACGCCATCAACAGGCCGGAATAGGG